GGGTTTAGGGGTTTAGGGCTTGGAGGTTTTAGGGTTTAGGGTTTAGGGTTAAGGAATGAATGGAGTATTCAGGGTGTCTGATTTAGGGGCTTTATCATAGGGATCCTACTACTCTGGGGTTTGTATTTGGGCTACTTCATATTGGGGGAGTGGGTCGTTGCAATAAGGATCCTATTATTCTGCATGAGCCCTAAACCCCTAAACCCTAAGCCTTAAACCCTTCACCCTAAACCTTTGTGCATCGCTTTCTGCTAGCGCAACTCGGGGCCCTGCATGCTCCAATGCTGAGACGATGCGCCGTGACGAACCCAGAGAGCCCAATACCCCTTAATGAAGGGATGTACCTTAAATCATAATAGGTAGGGTTTAGGGCTTAGGGTTAAGGGCTTAGGGTTTAGGGTTTAGGGGGTAGCCCCTTAAAACTCAAGGTGCATTCCTGAATCAAGGGGTCTTGGGCTGTCTGGGCAGCTCGAAACCGCTGCTCCGAATTGCGATCTGGGAAAAGCGTCAGGGTTTTACTGTAGGTTCAGTGCAGAAGCTAGGTTCCCCAGCAGTACCCTTTTGCCCTTTTTCTTTTTGGCCTCCCAAACAGTAGGAAAAAGGGTACCGTTATTATGTAGGGGCTACTGGGGAAAATCGTAAGGTTTATGTTTCAGGGCTTAGGGTGGCTATTGCAGTGAGTACTGGTTTAACGCGGTCTAGTTGAAAAAAAGACCACCTGGAGTACAGGAGACACACAGCTAACGACATGTAGACAGACCCCGCCCTAACCAGAGATCCCCAGAAGATCATTTTGCCGGGATCGCTTTTGGGCTGCTTGCATGTCCTACGTTCTAAGATTCTACACCGAAACTCTCAAAACAAATCCACAAGCACCCTTCGGAGCTGTACCCCAAACCCTGAACAGAACGCACTGGAGCTGAAATCTGTGGCTCAGCTTGAAACCCTACACCCTGAACCCCTTGAAGGCCTTGCCTGGAGTCTCCTGCCCACCTCTCGAAAGAGCAAGGAAGAGGTTTCTTCGACTTTGTTTTGTGCTTAGATTCAGGGCTTTTAGGGTTTAAGGTTGAGGGCTCATGGTTTCAGCACGTGCGGGGATGACTGCGCCTACTTATTGCTTCTTCTTGTGGATGGGGAGGAGGGGTGATGACGTTCTGTGTTTCAACATACATGATGATGAGGCTGTAAGGCGGAAAGTAGAAGATTGAAAGTAAGTAGCACTGGCGAACATACCGAAATTCTCGCGCCTGTCACACGAAACAAGGCTTAACATAGGATTGGGAATCTACGGAAGCAGCCCGTCGCGTGACATGCCAGATCACATCATCACATGTCCTTTCATGTCCTTTCATGTCATGTCATGTCATGTCATGTCATGTCATGTCATGTCATGTCATGCCATGCCATGCCATGCCATGCCATGCCATGCCATGCCATGCCATGCCATGTCATGCCATGCCATGCCATGCCATGTCATGTCATGTCATGTCATGTAATGTAATGGAATGGAATGGAATGTAA